CCTGGCTGCCCAACATTTTCTACCTCTGTCCCATGTCTCATTTTGTGTGTGTGTGTGTGTATGTGTGTGTGTGCATGTGCACACCAGTTGTGGAGCCTGAACTCAGGGCCCCAGATTCTTGCTGAGTTAACTATATTTTGTTTATAGCTGGCACCCTACAATTGGAACCATGACTCCAGTTCAGCTTTTTTGCTGGTTAACTGATTATAAGAGCCATGGATTTATTTGTATCAGGTGACTTTGAATTAGGATCCTCAGCCTCCAGAATAGCTCAGAATAGCTCATAAGACATAATAGCTATATCTACCATTTCTGTGTTAAAGTGGTAGCATAGTACATAAAAGCATCAGCTTACTTCACCAACTTGACCAGAGAATCCTTAGTTGTTTTTACTTGTTAATGTTCTGTTTTAATGATAAGTAAACAATATCCAAATTATATTATTAAAAAGTAGTAACACTGCCAGATGCTGGTGGCTCACACCTGTAATCCTAGCTGCTCAAGAGGCTGAAATCTGAGGATTGTGGTTCAAAGCCAGTCCAGGAAGGAAAGTCCATGAAACTCTTACCTCCAATTATCCACCAGAAAACCAGAAATGGCCTACTGTGGCTCAAAGTGGTAGAGCAGTAGCCTTGAGCAAAAGGGCCCAGGGACAGTGTCCAGGCCCTGAGTTCAAGCCCTGTGACTGACAAAAAGAAAGTAATACATAGTTTTGGAAATTAATCAAAGTTTCAGTTCAAGCGTGGACATACAGTTAGAGTTAGTCACATATTTGAAAATATTGAACTCTACAGAAAGTAGATGTTTATATTAGAGAATAATATATGGATGAATTCTACAACTGTGATGCTTTCAACTATAAGAAGAAAACAACAAAAATACATAAACATGGTAAAGTAGTATATTCTATTTATTTTTAGGTAAATTACATAAAACCAGACAGCAGAATTCAATTTTTTATGTATCTGTATATTTAATTTCAACATATACATCTATTTCACATATTTCTTCTACAGCTTATAAATATATAAAACCATTTGCATATAAATTTTAAACTTTTCATATTCAATATTTAACAATTTTGTATCTGTGTAATTAAAATTTTAATTCATGTCAGTATATTTACCTTTGAAGTTCAAATGTTTATCATAAATAAGTCAAGATAAATGAATGTTTTCTTAACATATAAGATTAAAATATGAACTTTGATCAAAGTATCTTCTTTGTGGATAATTTTAGTCTTAAAATCTGTTCATCTCAGCTAAGAGGATTTGCTGAACAAGAAAATAAATGATACTATTGGATTATAACCCAAATGACAAATATCTATGAGTTCATATATAAAGAACTTAGTGTGAAAAAGTGAAAAATGGGCTGGGAAGGTGGCTCAGTGGTAGAGCGCTTGCCTTGCATGCATGAGGCCCTGGGTTTGATTTCTCAGCACCACATAAGCAAAAAGAAAAAAGCTGGAAGTGGCGCTGTGGCTCAAGTGGTAGCGTGCTAGCTTTGAGCTGAAGAGCTGAGGAACAGCACCCAGGCCCAGAGTTCAGGCCCCACAACTGGACCCAAAAAAAAAAAAGAAAGAAAAAGTGAAAAGTATTCCTTGTAGAATAATTTTATTAACTTATATAAAAAAGGAAAATAGGAAACCGTTATTAGAATATTACAGCATCAATTGCCTATCAAAATACACAGAATAGGCTACTGAAGTTAAAGTAGAGCATTACATTTGTACAGCTTCAAAATATTGCTCCACGTATTCAATAGTGATAGAAATACTAAAAGAGTTTACTTTAGGGAAGCTTGGCAGACAGTACCTTAGCCATCTGATCAATATTAACATCACTTTAGGGCCAGGGATGTATCTCAATAGTAGATCACTTGCCTAGCCCTGAGTTGGATCTCCAGCACACAAAAAAGTTACTAACCTCACCCAAATGCTACTGAACCACTATGTACATTTAAATGATAAACTTGGTAAATTTTGTGTTTTCACAATAAAGATAGATTAACATCATGATTGTTATGGCATATTATAGCTGGTGACATCATACATTGAGAGACATAAGGGCATGGCCTCAATCTAATTATGGGAAAATAGCAATCCCAAACTGAGACATTTTACTAATACTAACCAGTATTCTTCAAAAGGCTTATGGTCATGAGAGACAGAGAAAGAATAAGGAATGGGTCACAGGTGGTAGATATCAAAGGCACATATCAACTAAATGCATTCTGGGTTCCTGTATTGGATCTTTTATCAGAAAAATGGGATAATTGGTGAAATATAAGGATGTAGTCTAATAGATTGCACTAAATTTTATTTCTTAATTTTGACAACTACCATAGTTATATAAGACTAAGAAGAAGCCAGGTGCCGATGGCTCACACCTATAATCGTAGCTACTCAGGAGGCTGAGATCTGAGGATCACGGTTCAAAGCCAGCCCAGGCAGGAAAGTCTGTGAGACTCTTATCTCCAATTAACCACCAGAAAACCAGAAGTGGCGCTGTGGCTCAAGTGGTAGAGTGCTAGCCTTGAGATAAAGAGCTGAGGGACAATGCCCAGGCCCAGAGTTCAAGCCCCATGACCAACAAAAACAGAAAACTACAAAAATATTCAGAGTTCCTGTATATCCTCCACTTAACTCTTCTTAGTCTTCTTAGTCTGAGTGCCCAGGCCCTGAAGTCAAGCCCCATGTCTGACAACAAAGTCTTTTCTTCACTACAATCTGTAATGACAGCTTGCCTTAACCCATCCTAGTGCAAGTACACTGGAAAACTACACATACTTCAAATAAGCAGAATGATACCATACTTTATGAAGAATGTTTAATATTAATAAGATAATTCATCACTAGTCTTCATTTGCTTCATCTGTTCTCAAAATACGAAAGTATTGAAAGCACCCATAGGTGATTCCAATTCTACCTTGAACATCTCCATTTTAAAAAATGACTTAGCACTAATTTTAGAGTGTTCCTAGTTATTGAGTAGACAGCCAGGTACCACCATTAGGTATCAGTCATAAATCCAAGAATGAAGTATTCCTCAATAAATGTGATGTGGTATAATTAAAGAGTTTTTAAAGAAGTAGTTTCTATTTTTACAATTCCAGTTACAAATATGACTTCCTACGTGAGAGAGAAGACCGAGAGTGTAAATTTACACAAATTTGTATAAAAATAAGACACAACTTATGCCTTATTAAAATAATCTTGATTTTCAAAGCAGTTAGAATTGGTAACATTCTTGAAATATGCTGTTTTAATGTTGTAAAGCTACAATATTTAAAATACTTCAGCATTTAAAGCTAAAATAGCTTATGAAGGCAAATAATGATGGTTCAGAAGAAGGGTAACTTATTTCCCTATTTCATCTTATAAAAGATTTACTAGGAAAATCATTTTATTTTTCTGTCCCTTTCATCATCACCCCTCACCTCACAACAGAGGACTAAGGGTCTTTTTTTATTGTGTGCTGGTTTGGGGAGCATAATTTAGGGCTCTGTTCCTGAGTTATTTTTGCTCAAGGCTACCACTCTGTCACTTGAGACACAACTCCACTTCCAGCTTTTTTAGTGGTTAATTGTAGATAGAAGTCGCATGGACTTTCCTGCATGGGCTGACTTTGAACTGTAACCCTCAGATCTCTACCTCTCAAACAGCTAGGATCACAAGCATGAGCCTGGGTTTTAGTGACCACATCTGATACTACCTAGAAGTTTCTCATGTCTTAAAGCCATCTAATTGGTATTGGCTTTTTGTGCCAAGCGCTGGTGATCTTTCCTGAAAATCTACCTACTTGAGAGGCTAAGATTGGAAGGACCACAGTTTAACCAATAGCAGGGTGTTGTTGTGCATGTTGGTCATCTCAGCTACATGGGAAGCTGAGGCCAGCAGGATTGTGGTTTCAGACCAGCTACACAGAAAACTCCAGACTCCATCTCATGACGGAGTCATCCCATCTAGGACAAGGAAGCCTAACATATGCAGTCCAGACACAGATTCAGGCAAAAAGTGAGACCTTATCTCCCAAAATGAGGACAAAATACAGGCATCATACTGCATTGAAGAAGCTGCCTAGCAAGCACAGGGATCTGAGATCAGTGTTGCCAGTACTGCCAAATAAAGAACTGTTTTTAAAAATGTATTTTTGTCTTTTAGTTGTTCACAGGCTACAAAACAGTTTAAAGTAAAATAGTTTAAAGTAATTTTAGCATGTAATGGCACCATAAAATATTCTACACTGTTCTGTGGTAGTAATTTACTACAACAATCCTAATTTCTTTAAATTTTCCTCCATCTTTTATTTCCCATATTCAAATAACTTTCTAATAAGGCAAGGACTTGGGAACATGCGAAAGATTTGAGACTTGTCTGCAACCCCAAATAACCATTAGAAATCTGTGTCTGGTCTGGGTATGGTTGCATAAGCATGCAATCCCAGCCACTCAGGACGCAGAGGTCAGAAGGACTTCAGTTTGAAGCCAGGCTACACAAAAATAGAGAGCCTAACTCAACCAGTAAGCCAGGACTAAAAGTTTCAACCAAGTACCAACACCACATACACACACCAAAAACTGGAAACTATTTTGCTTCCCTGTAAATATATTACTGTCTAGCAGATAAGATTTTAAAGGCAAATGCCCAGCTATCTCCATGGAGATAAGCATTTCCTAGGTCATTTCCTAGCATTTCATTTGATTTTTTTGTACCATAAAAGAGATGGAGAACAAGTTCCTTCCATATACATGTTTCCATACAATGGCATTTCTTTAGTTTTCTAAATGAAAAAGTGATGTTAGATAAATGGCTCAGGGATGAGGATAACTATTTTGTACTAAGGCAAATTTTACTGGGTTTCTCATTTTCAGTAAACTAGGTACTGCTTTGTCTCTACCAAAGCTGCAGTACCACCACCACCATTTTTGTTTCAGTAAGAATGGAATATTTTTGCATACTAAATATAACATTCTCTTCTTCCTGAGGGCTGTAAGAGCTACATATAATCATCAGATACCTGAGCATGGCCCTCTGACCCCCGGGACCTTTTTCTATTAGAAGGTAAACTAGAACCATTCTCTGTTTTTTCCTGTCCAGTGGCATGAGGGAAAGGGAAATTGGGCATAAAGCGCTTAAGAAACCGGAGCTCACTAGTGCCAGTACCACTGGCTGAGCACATTTCATATGAACAAGGCTGGGATAAGGATCCATTGCCTCCCCCTTGCACCAGATTGTTAGGGAAATTACAGTCATCATAGAAAGGCTCTTGAATTGTGAACTTTTCTCTATGTTTAATCTTCTGGCAAATGTGTATGATGAAGATCACTGTGACAGAGACAAGAAAGAGAAAGGAAAGCACAGCCAGAGAGATGACCAAATATTTGGTGGTTGGATTTACCTTTCTAGAATGCTTAGATGTATCCCGGAACTGCAGATAGGGTTCTGAAAAGCCATCCACTAGCAGGATGTTAAGTGAGGCAGTAGTGGAGAGAGCTGGTTGTCCATGATCTTGAACAAGAATGATTAGCTTTTGCATCATTGGGTCTCTCTCAGATATCTGCCTCAATGTACGGATTTCCCCATTTTGTGGTTGAACAGAAAATAATCCAGGGTCAGTGGCTTTAAGTAGATGGTATGAAAGCCAAGAATTCTGACCTGAGTCACCATCAACAGCCACCACTTTGGTCACCAGGTAGCCGGCCTCTGCCGACCTGGGCACTAGGTCATGACAGGGGAAAGTGCCATTTTGAAGTGGGTACAAGATCATTGGACGATTGTCATTGTCATCCAGGACAACCACTCTGACAGTGACTTGGCTACTCAGAGACAGGAAGCCCCCATCAGTTGCCTTTACCACAAACTGGAAATCTTGGATAGCTTCATAATCCATGGTTCTCAGTGCATAGAGTTTCCCATTGTCTGAATTTATGGAAATGTAAGCAAAGACAGAGAGATCTCCACTTTGGGGAGGCAACAAAGAATATGTTACCTGGGCATTCTCACCCAAATCTAGATCTTCAGCATGGACTTTGCCAATAAAAACTGCAGGACTGTTGTTTTCCCGAACAGTCAAGATGTAGGAATCTTCCTGAAACACGGGAGGATTGTCATTAATGTCCGAGATGAGCACCTCTATCACTGTCTCTGTGGACAGGTTAGGTGGTCCGGTATCCACAGCAACAAGGGTGATATTATACCCCGAGACGTCTTCCCGATCCAAGCTTCTGCCAGTGACCAGCGAATACGAATTCCGGAATGTGGGTTTGACTCTAAAGGGAAGATCTTCCTTGAGGAAGCAGGTGATTTTGCCTCCCACTCGGATGTCCCGGTCTCGGATAGTGAAGAGGGCCACCACCGTCTGCAGTGGTGAGTCCTCAGGGAGAGGGCTGGACACAGAGGAGATGGTGACTTCAGGAGGATTGTCGTTTACATCCACCACTTCCACCAGGACTTTGCTGTGCGCCGAGAGGCCTCCTCCATCTGTAGCTTGAATATCAATGTCGTATGTTTCCGTCGTTTCAAAATCTAGGGGCCCTCGGAGCCGAACTTCTCCGGTTCGAGAGTCGATCTGGAATGTCTGCAGAATTGCTTCTGGGTTTTGAGCTAAAGAGTACGTTATCTGCTTGTTGGTGCCTTCGTCTTGGTCCGAAGCAGTCACCACCGCCACGAAGGAACCGTTGGCGCTGTTCTCGGGTACCTGAGCCCGGTACACCAGGCGCGAGAACTGAGGCACGTGGTCGTTGACGTCCAGAACCACCACTCGGATGTGGGCGGAGCCAGACTTGGGCGGGGACCCGCCGTCCACCGCCGTGATTGTCAAATTGACCTCAGGCTCCTCCTCTCGATCCAGCGGTTTATCCAGCACCAGCTCCGCGTACTTGGGCCCGTGGCTGCGGAAGCGGGTGTGCAGGTGGAAATATGCATTGACACTGAGGGTGTAGTTTTGGAGACCGTTGAGGCCCACGTCCAGATCCTGAGCGCTCTGCAGAGGGAACCGGGAACCCAGTGGGGTGCTCTCTGGGATCTTTAAAACCGGTTCCTTGTTTAGAAAAACCGGGGCATTGTCATTAATATCAAACACCCTGACTTCTGCACGGAAGGACTGCAACGGCTCCACCAGCACAATTTCGAAGTGCAGAACGCACGGGTCAGCTTTGCCACAAAGCGATTCCCTATCCAGTTTCTCCTTCACGAACAAATCTCCAGTCTTGCGGTGGAGCCGGAAATGCAACCTGTTGCCCTCAGAAACCAGCCTCGCCCCGCGCTCGGCCAGTTTACCAACCTCCAGCCCCAGATCCTTGGCTACATTGGCCACAAACGAGCCGCTCTCCATCTCCTCCGCCACCGAATAGCGGATGGTGGCGGCTCCCCCCACCGACACGCACACGAGAAGGAGCAGAATCCTCACCTGCCTGCTTTGCAAAGGCTTCCTGCACTCACCCGTCGTCATCCTTTCTCAAGACGCACGCCCGGTAAATCCGCCAGCTGTGACGGATAGAGTTTCGCTTTTGTAGGAAAGGCCCAGGCAACAGGTGCTCCCCCTCCTTTCACTGGCCTCTAACCGCAGCCGAAGGCTTAGTCCAGCCAGGTAAGCTGTTTTGCACTTGAAAGAAAAATTCGCATTGAGTAACACAAGTCCCTAGTCTGTTGGATGTATTTATAGGTATGTTGTCATTCCTGAGAGTTGGGCTGAGGTTGGAAGTTTGTTGCCAGAGGAACCGCAGACGCACCTGCTAATTCCCTTCCAGGAGAGAAAGAAAAAAATAAATAAAGTCCTTGGGAATTGAGAAGCCAAGGATACCCGCTCAAGTTGAAGTCATTGTTCCTGCCAGTCCTCTGGGGCCGCCGGCAGTGACACCTTTAAAGCTGTATCTGCACACTCCACAGTTCAACAGAAATGGCGAAAGGATCTTTTTTTCTCCTGGAGGCCAAAATATATGAGCATTAGGAAAGCAGGGGAGAGTGCTGGGGAGTGTTAAAGAAGAGGAAAAGCAAAAAGAAACAGAGCAGGCAGGCATCCTTCAATTCACACAAAACCATTTTTCCCCCAGACCCTCAAAAGCTCAGGAAGCAGTTGCTGCTTATTGCTAACGCTTATTATAGCAGTAGTATTTATTGGGCATGTTTTATAGGAACTAGGACTATGTTGGGTGGTTTACATGCATTCTTAAAATGTGATGTGACTGTCACAGGAGAGACCAGGTCACATCCAATATCCTCCTTTAACTACTGAAAGTGAGAAGTAAATTGCAACTTAATATGTCTGACTGCAAAGTGTATGCTCCCAATAAATACATCATTCTGTTTCCCAGATAATGTATTAGATAAATCAATTAAAGATAAATGCTTGGTTTTGGACTTTAAAACAGCAAGATGAAATCCATTCTACCTTTCCTACTTTAAAAAGCAAAAAGCCACAGGAGCTAAAGTCCTAACTGATGTAATCACATGCCCAGTTCATACAGTACTCCTGGCTGTACAAGACTTAGAGCTTATCTTCTGGCCTGGATCATGTTAATTATAAAAAAAAAGTTTGATTTGCCATTCATGGTCAGTACTTTAAATTCTAGATGATGCTTTACAGTTACTGTCACTTAAGAGAAACCTCAGTTTCTACCAGGCACTTTGCATCCAGTATAAGAGTATATTCTTAAGCTGTCTTCCTTCACTTCTTCTTAAAACCATAAATGAAGTGTACAGCAAATGATAGTTTAAATCCAGTTTCATTCTCTCATTACTTAGTTGAATGTGAGATCAATACTTCAATACTGTGTTTATCTTGCATTCATTTACTTCTGTTACCACTTGATAGAATTTCAATGTGGATTGTCAATGCACTTTTGACAAAAACACACCTGTATCAGAAACACACCTGTGGTTAAACAAAATTGTGTTTTGCAATGAACAAAAACTACACACCATAGACAATCCTGGGGTGTTTCAATAGAAAGTTGTTAGAAATGGACATGTGATATTTGGTTTTGTTTTAGCTGATTTGGGAGAGACTTGAAGAAGGATTTTGATCTGGCATGAATGCATAAATGGATAAATAAGTGGAGTTAGTTCTATGATGGTTTCATTAACAACCTGTTATAGAAAATAAGAATGGCATAAAGAAGCTAACAACACTACTATTTAGCAAATATAGATTGTATGAAGTTCTTTTTTGTCAGTGCCTAGATATGATTATGGAGTACTCTGTTTTTCTCTTGATCTATAACCATTACAGATTGGACATCTTGGTTTTGGGCCTTGTTTTTGTTTATATCTGTCTTTATTGTTGTCTTTTCATTAGTATATGTATTATTGACAGTTATTAGCATCATCAGTAGTATAACATTATATAACATTATTAGCATAGTTGTACAACATGAAAGGCCTAATTATAAGAGAGCACTGAATCCTAATCACTAGATGACCAGGAAAGGTGAAAGGCTTAATTGTGATATTTCCATACATACATATAATGTAATCTATGTTTATTCCAGAATTCTTAACCTTTTCCCCCAACTCCTGCTTTGTAGCTTTCTTGCAAGTTCTTTTAAATGGATTTCATTATGGCTTTATGTGTGAACAAAATTAACTTTGATCATATTCTCATTCTCCACACCCTTTGTTCCCTGCTCCACTTCCTGCTGGTCCTTCCCCAGTAGTCCTCCTTCTACATTCATGACCTTTTTGTGTACATAAGAGGAAAAATGTGATATTTATCTTTCTGAGTCTCCCTTATTTTACTTAACATGACAACATCCAATTTGATCCATTTTGGGGAAAATGATATAATTTTATTGTTTTTGCAGCTGAATAATACTCCATAGTGTACATATACCGCATTTTCTTTATCTGTTCACACACTAGCCAATCAACAGATTGGCTATTGTGAGTAGTGCTCCAATAAATGTGGTGGTACACATTTCTTTTAGTTGTTGCATTTATTTTTTGCCAATCCTGGGGCTTGAATTCGGGGCCTGGCCACTGCCCCTGAGCTTCTTTTTGCTCAAGACTAGCACTATAACCACTTGAGCCACAGCGCCACTTCCAGCTTTTTCTGTGTATGTGGTACTGAGGAGTGGAACCCAGAGCTTCATGCATGCTAGGCAAGCACTCCACCACTGGGCCACCTTCCCAGCCCTGTTGTATTTCTATTTATTTTAAACCAGAATAGTTTAGAAAAATATTTTATGATGTTTGTTTTTATTCCATGAGAATGATGTCTTTTTTTTTGTCTGTCATGGGGCTTGAACTCTGGGCTTGAATGCTGTCCCTCAGCTCTTCAGCTTAAGGCTAGTGCTCTACTACTTGAGCCACAGTGCCACTTCTGGTTTTCTGGTGTTTTATTGGAGATAAGAGTTTCACCGACTTTCCTGCCCAGTCTGGCTTTGAACCACGATCCTCAGATCTCAGCCTCCTGAGGACAACAGGCATGAGCCACCGGCACCCGGCATGACAATGACTTCTTTTTCATGTCACTGCCTTGTAGGGTTGTACTGGAGGCTGAATTCCGGTGTACTAGGCAATTGATTTACCATATGAGCCACATCCCCAATCCCTTATCTTTTGTTTTTCTGGTAGAATCTCCAGCTTTTCACCATAACATCCCCAGACTTTGTTCTTCCAACCTCTGCTTCTTAAGTAGATGGGGTAACAGGCATGAACCACCATGCTTGGCTCTTCACCAAGTTTCCTAATAGAATATTTTTCAGTTGAATATACTAGTACATAACTATAATCCCAGCTATCTGGGAGGTGGAAGCAGAAGGGTGTCAAATTTGAAGCCAGCCTGGGGAAAGTAAGAGCCTAGCTTTAAAAAAAGACCTAAAAGGCCAAAGGCCTGGCTCAAGTTGTATAGGTCTTGACTAGCATACTAGAATCTCTAGGTTCAATCTCCAGTAAAAGAAAAGAAAAAAGTATCTTTTAATTATTTTTATAAATATCAGTAGTTATTGGAGCTACATGTCCAAAATTGTTTTATTAACCAGTGCTTTCCAGTATACACGAATGAGATTTATCTTGAATTAGTACATCCAATTATATTCTGTAAGTTTTCATTATATGATTACATTGTACTTTATTGTATAATATTTTATTATATAACCTTATATATACCTACACACATATATATGAAATCATGGAACTTATACTTTCAATTCACTAACATAAATTTCCTCATTTCCTTCTCCTATTTAGGCTTATATTTTCCTCTTCCCAAAGTCATACTCCTTAGTTCCTAATACTATCAATATATTTGCTTATTATATAAACATTAAAATATACATAAAGTTTTGGAATCCCCCCCAACAACAAATCAGAAAGAAACAATCACCCCATTAATAAGTGGCTAAAGATGTAAAGAGAGACTTCTCAAAAGAGGAAATAAAAATCTCCAAGACACACTTCTCTAGCCATAAAAGAAATGCAAATCTAAACACACTGAGATTTACCTCAACCCAGTTAGAATGGCTATATTCAAGAACTCTAATAACAACAGATGCTGGAGGGGATGTGGCCGAAGGGGAACTCTACATCATTGTTGGTGGGAGTATAAACTTGTCCAACGACTTTGGAAAGCAGTATGGAGGTTCCTCAAAAGACTCCACATAGAGCTCCCCTATGACCCAGCAATCCCACTTTTGGGCATTTACCTGAATGATCACAAACAAGACCTCACTAAAGCTACCAGCACAAGTATGTTTATTTACCATAGTAAATTATTATTATTTACCATAGCTAAGATATGGGACCAACCCAGATGCCCCTCAGTAGATGAATGGATTAAGAAAATGTGGTACATATATACAATGGAATTCTGTGCTTCCATCAGAAAGAATGACACTTCCCCATTTGTAACAAAGGGAAAGACTGGGAAAAAATTATATTAAGTGAAGTAAGCCAGGCCCAAAGAAATATGGCTTCCCTTATTTGCAAAAACTAGTATACTTCTGGGATAATCTTACCAGACAAGCAGAGAAGGTCAAAAGCTATGTACATATGACCATATAAGATGATGCTAAGCAAAATGAACCCCAAGAGAGGGACACAAGAGATTTTTTTCTTTGTGCTGTTGTTTTTAATGTACTATGTGATTTTGTTGTTTCTTTTGTATATTTTTCCTCTATAGTAAAACCCCTGTTGTCACTATATTTGATTCTGGTGCCCTGCATCTTGTATATACATTTTTCTAATTTGGGGAAGGGATGGGAAATGACAAAGTACTGAAACAAGGATGCAGGTTGACCCATTATAACAATGAGACATACAGACACTATGTTGAAAACAAACTTTACAACTTGTGGGGGAGGGAGGAGTTGGGGAATTGGGGAGGGAAGGGATGTAGGGGAAAAACAAAGGAGGGAGTAAAAATGTTTGATAGGAAATATACTCATTACCTTATTCATGTAACTGTAACCCCTCTGTACAGTATCTTTACAATAAAAAAAATAAGAAAAATTT